ATATATAGTTTCAAAATTCTGATTTTCACTATTGGAAAAATTAAGGACAGAGATCAGAGTGGCCTGTAAGAGAGGAGGTTGTGTCTGGAGTTGGGTGATAGGAGGGTCCTACTCTGGTGCTGGGAGGGGATGCTCTGGCCTCCTTGGAAGAAAGGATGAATTGACAGGGCTAGGGAAGAATTCGATTTTCAATTGCTAATAACCTCTTTGAAACTTAGAAATGGGAAGGCCATGCTGCTGAGAAGTCAGGTCTGCCACTGTGCCTCAGAGCGGGGTTAGGGAAAGTTGTGAAGGTGCATTCAAAGGGAGCTGATGGTCAGGAGAAAGTTAAATGTCAGGGAGCAGACAAAATCTGTTGTAATAGAACCAGTTTCTGTGGTTCTATTAACAAGCCGGAGATGGCTAAGCTTAAATGCTGGCTCCATAAGAACGGTTCATGCAGTGCAGCCTTATTACTGATATTTAGTAGGAACAGCTCACACCTCACTCTCATTTGCCAATTTCACCTGCTACTCAGGGCCATTCCAGAAGTCTGTTTTATCACTGGCATCATTTTCACAGATGAGGAAACTGAGGATCAGGGAGCTACACGACTTGCCCAAAGTCACCCAGTTATTGAGGTCTGCCTACAATGAGCTTCTCAATAAACTAGGCATTCACTGTACCCTAGAGGTAGTTAGACCCATCTTCTCTCCAGGAGGCTCTAATCTTACAAAAAAAATTAAAACATCTCTTTAAATTATGCCACTCTGGAGGGTTGGAGGTGGTACCAATAAAATTCAATGAGATCTCCTGGCACCCTCACCACCACAGAAGGTGAGTAGCATCAGGACAACCAGCTTGAATTCATGTCTCACGTTTCTGGAGTAACTCCCGGAGTTTAAAGGTTAGGATCTCATTACCAATGTTACAAGTCAAGAATAAATAAATACAGGGTGGGAACCATGCCTGGGCACTAGGCGTTATTCTAACTCAGGGAAGGCAGCGGGAGGACCTGCTGCCTTTGCTGGGCAGGAGCGGATTTAGCTGCTGCAGAAACTCCCGCGCCCAGTGGAGCGTGGAGCGTGCGGCGTGGCCCTGACACCTCCGGTCTGAGAGCGAGAAGCACCTGCTGAGACAGGCGCGGGGGGAGCCAGGGGCACCCCGAGTGCACGCCACCGCCTCCCCAGGTAGATCACACAGTGCCCTCTCTGCCCCTCTGCAGTAGAGTCTCCAGGTCCGTCCGTCCCAGCCCCGGGGACCTAGAGTGAGCACCTTCAGGACCAAGAGATCCCGGGGGTCCCCCCAGAGCGAGCGGGAGGCAGGCAAGCGTCTGGCACTGCCCCCGCCTTCTCGCTTTGGGCTCTGCTTTGCATGGCGGCGCAGAGACCTCCCCGGACCCAGACAGTCGCGTCCCGACCTCCGTGCTCCCCCTCCCAGCTCACCGAGCACCCCCGGCGTGATGAGAGCCAAGAAAGCCCAGAGCAGGCCCGCGGCACCCATGCCCCGGTGGCAGCCCCGGCGGGCAGCTTTCTGTGGCAGCTCCGGGAGGGCAGGGCTGGAACCGGCGGCAGCTGCAAACAGGGGGAGGTGGGCTCTTAAATAGAGGCTGACACCACGTGCTAGCTCTGCGCGCACACCTGCCGGCTGCCGGGGGCGGGCCGCCCGTGCCGGCGGGGCGGGCAGAAGGAGGAACTGGGAGGTCAGTCCTTAGCGCAAATCCACCCCTCAGTGCAGCGGCTTTCCAACTTTTTGTGCAACTCAGGGCATCCACTTTTGCCCCTTTGGAGAACTGAAACAAAGGCTTCACGAAATAGTAATCACCCTAATCGACAATGATCTAATCCACCTTCCCCTAACCTTCCCTTTGCCCTTCCATTCCCCTGCCCTTCCCTTCACTTCGCTTCCCTTCCCTTTCATTTATTATTATTTTTTATGTTTGGCTTGGATCCACGAAATTCATTTCAAAAGTTTTTAATAATTCTAACTGTCGAAACAACAGTTTACTTAGGAAACTTATGGGCAGCAGCAACATCGACTATTATGTCCTTTTAATTTTGAAATAATTTCTACAGAAAACTTGCAAGAATGGTACAAAGCATTTATATATATAAAATATGTATATAATTTTCCAAATGTTAACATTTCACTGTTTTCTTTATCATTCTCTTTCGCCTTGGATGGATGGATGGATGGATGGATGGATATAGAATAGATATAGAATAATAGATATAGATATAGAGCTATATATATATGGATATTTATATATATGAATATATATCTATAATAATAAAAGTGTAATATGCTAATTAGACCAGGCATCCAAACGACCTTTCGTACAAAGCCGCAGTGGCAGGGGCCGATCAGGCAGGCAGGTGAGTGGTTAGGGGTGATCAGGCAGGCAGGTAAGCAAGCAGTTAGGAGCCAGCAGTCCCAATTATGAGAGAGATGTCCCGGATTGTGAGAGGGTGCAGGCTGAACTGAGGGACACCACCCCTAGCCCCATGCATGAATCTTGTGCACTGGGCCTATATATATTATTACTTTGGAACTATTTGAGATAAGTTACAGGCATGACACCCCTCCTCTCAATACTTCAGTGTGTATTTTCTAAAAATGAGAACCTTCTCTTACATAACTACAATGCACTGAGCAAAACCAGAAAATTAATTGGTACAATACTATTAACCTAAGCAACAGAAAGTACTCAAAATTTCTCCAATTGCCTTGATGATGTTTATTTTAGCAAATACAAACACACACACACACACACACACACACACTTTTTTTTTCCTGGTCCAGGATTGTTCTAAGGTCACACATTTCATTTGATTGTTATGTATGTTTTTTTCTCAGTTAATCTGAAAAACGTCTTCAGGGTTTGTATTGTGTGTGTGTCTTTCAGGACCTTGACATTTTTGAAGAGTACACATCAATTACTTTAGTAGAATGACTTTTTTAAAATTTGTTTTATTGGTTTCAGAGAAGAAGGAAGAGGGAGAGAGAGATAGAAACATCAAGGATTAGAGATAATCATTGATCGGCTACCTCCTGCATGCCCCACTCTGGGGATCAAGCCTGCAACCAGGGCATGTGCCCTGACTGGGAATCGAACCGTGACCTTCTGGTTCATAGGTCAATGCTCAACCATGAGTCATCCCACTCAGCAGTAGAATGACTTAAATTAGTTATCTATTGCATAGTAATAAATTACCCTAACCATATTGATTTAAAGCAAGAATAAACATTTATTATCTCACGCAGTTTCTCTGTCAGGAATTTGAGGGCAGCTTAGGAAGGTAGTTCTGGTTTGGAATTTCTCATGAGGTTGCAGTCAACACATCGGCTAGAAGTGCAGTATTCTGAAGGCCTGACTGGAACTGGATGATCCTCATTTAAGATGGCTCTCTCACATGGCTTTTGGCTGGAGACCCCATATTCTTACTTTATCATAGGACTCTTTGAGTATCCTTTCAACATGGTGACTGGTTCTGGTTTCTTCTCCCATAATAAGAGAGTAAGGCAGAAGCCAAAGTGTCTTTTAAAATCTATCCTCCGAAGTTACACCATGTTCATTTTCATGATATCCTACTGGATACCATGATGATTAATTTTATGAACCCAGATAATGGTCAAACATTATTCTGAGTCTGTAGGAGCGCTTTTGAATGAGATTAACATTTTTTATAGTGGTAACTGACATTTATTTTTATTCCTATATTTCCAAGTTTTATTGAGATACTAGAGGCCTGATGCACGAACTTCAAGCAAGAGTAGGCCTTCCTTTCCCCCCCGACTGCCGGCATCGGCTTTCCTCTGGCACCTGGGACCTGGACTTCCCTCCAGCTGCCAGTAGGCACCCAGCTTCGTCTGGAAGGTCATCTGGAAGGACATCCGGTCTAATTAGCATATTACGCCTTTATTATTATAGATCATCCTACATAATAATCAAGGGATATGCTAATTAGCCCAGATGCCTTGGCAGTCATGACTGGTCAGGCTCAGAGCTACCCAGCCCGGAGGCCACCCAGCTGGGGGCGGTGAGCAGGCCTGGCATCCCTGCCCTGTGCTGAAGGGGAGCGGCCCAGGCAGAAGTGGCCACTGGCGGATGCCGCCTGGCCCAGAGGCCACCCAGCCAAGAGAGTCACTGGAGACTTTGCTTAAATTCAATAGTTAAAATCACTATGGTCTGTGAGAGCTGACATCCTCAAACACTCAGGACCCTCAATTGTACAAATAGGAAACAATTGCATAATGCTTCGACCTAATTGTACACACTTTAGTATCGTTTAACACTTATTCTACATCCTTCAAGTAAATTCAGCAGCTGACTGAGGAGAGCAGGCACTGAGAAGCCCGTGGTCCCTGCTCTGCTATCTTGAGTTTGTGGTTTCCAAGGAAACAGCCAGAAGGGATGATAAACCCTCCGCAAATGGCTTAGCTGGCGCCTATCTAAGTGGTGACAAGCGGTGGCTTGGTTTAAACCCAGTCTTTCCGGCAGTGAATGACCCCAGCCCTCCCTGGATCAGGCAGGTTCCTGTGGAGGGCAATCTCCACGCAATACAACCGGGCCCCAGTTTCGTCCCTGGAGATCTCATGCGCATTAGCTCGGGGCAGCGGGGAAGGAAGGGAAAAGGCATCAGGTGGGGCAGCTCTGGCAGACACTCCCCTGCCACCCCCTTCAAGTGTAAGAAGAATCAAATAAACCAATACAAACCCCTCTCCCGCCCTGGAGAGATCCAGGACTGAGGGGCGGCCAGCCCGGGCATTGCGTACCCGCTTCCCACCGGCTTCATCCAAATGGACCCTTGAGGGTTAAGTGGAGGAGGAGGAGCCTCGCAGGAAGGGGATCCCGGAACCGCACCCCTGCCCTCCCTGCAGACCTGACCTCTCAGAGCCAGGGACTGACCCCGCCCCCAGCAGATTTGCATATCCCAGACCCTCCAGTGCTTCCAGGCACTGGGCATTCCCACCTCTTCCCTGCCTCCCAGCCACTGACCCTCACTGTCGCCTACCCCAGAAGCACTCTGTCCTCCCCAACCCTCAGTCTTTATAGCCTAAATGCATGCTGGGTGTAGTTCCTTCTCCAAGGATTTTATTTGATAAGAACCCAGCAAAGTCCCTTAGCAACTGAGCTGCTCAGACTTCATCAGGGACAACGAATGACACACCTTACTTGGCTTTTATAGCA